GGAATGTGATGGACATCATTATACAAAGTACATGTATGAAGACATGAATTGGTGTGAACATACTTTATATACAAATCGTGCTCTATACGTGTAATAAGAATTGTAATGCATTCTGCTGTCATGTATTTAAAAAATAAAAGCAATTAAAAACAAAAGAAGCAATATGGTCAAAATGCTTCTGATTTCGATTGAAATGATATACCTACAGATCCAAGAGGATCAAATAACCCAAAGAAAAGGGACATGAAGAAAATCACGCCAGAGTACATCATAACAAAACTGATGAAATCCAGTGACAAAGAGAAAAATCACACAAGCAGCCGGCGACAGAAAAGTACACTTTACATGGAGAGGAAGAGACCCGAGAATAGCAAGAGCCTTCTAATCATAAATCATGTGAGCCAAGCCAGGAGACAAGAGAGGGGGGATCTTTAAAGTGTCAAAAGATAAAATTTTAAAGCTAGAAGTCTATACTTAGCAAAAATGTCTTTCAAAATGTAAAGGTAAATCTGAGAGTTTGATTTCAGACTTAAACAGCTGAGACAACTCACCACTAGCAGAAGATTCATTACTCACACTCCAGGAAATGTGCTAATGGAATTCCTTCAGGAAGAAATAAAATGATGCCAAGCGGATTCTGGATCCAAAGGAAGGAAAACAGAGCAACAGAAATATCCAAGTATGTGGATAAATGTAAAATATGTGTATTCTGGTATTTAATCCAGTTAGAAGACAGTGGGCCATTTGTAAAGCATTGTGGGGTTTATGGCATGTGCAGAAGTAAAGTAGAGAAGGGGCTGAGGATGTAGCTCAGGGGTAGAGCTCTTGCCTGGCGAGCGTGAGGCCCTGGGTTCAATCCCCAGCACCAGGAAGAAAAAAAGAATTAAAGAAGAGGGAAGTGAAAGTTGCAAGATTCTTATACATGAAGTAGTGTGATGTTATCTGAAGACAGACTGTGATAAATTAAGAATGCATATTGTATTGTAAATGCCAACTATTTATATGTATCAAAACAAAGAGATGGGGTTAGTAAGATAATAGTGGAGATAAAAACAGAACCATAAAAAATAAACAAAAGAAAGGGAAAAAAAGAAGAAGAAGAAGAAGAGGAGGAGAAGGGATAAACATTAAATAAACAGCAAGATGCCTGATTTAAATCCAACCAAATCACTAATCATATTAAATGTAAATGATCACAACACTCCAGTTCAAAGGCAAAACTTTCCAGACTTATTTAAAAACGATATTCATACATATTCTGTCTACAAGAAACCCAGGTAAACATAAGACAGACAGTTAAAGGTAAAGGAAAAGGAAGAAGATAAACTATGTAGACAATAATCAAAAGCAAGCTGAAGTAAGTGAAGTGGTACATGCCTGTAATCCCAGCAGCTCAGGAGGCTGAGACAGGAGGATCACAAGTTCAAAGTCAGACTCCGCTGATAGACCCAACCTGATCTTATCTTAAAATTGGGAGCAATCTCGCCACAAAGCCATGAAAAGATAATTTCGGCTTTACTATAAATTACTGCAAATTCTGAATCTGCTTGGAATGCCTGCCCGTGCCTTGAACTCACCCATGCCTGGCTCTCTGACCAGAGAGCAGCCCTCTCTGAAACTTTAGTGACACCTCATAAATATTGGCCTTCCCTGGTCAGACAACGACCCTCTTTGAGGCTATAATGGTCCTCATAAATTCTGATGTTGGGGCCAGCAAAAAATGTAAACTACCATTAGTGTGATGCTCGTCAAAGTTCTGTTATCTGTAACCCCCCTTTGTGTAACTTTCTGGGCTATAAAGCTGGGCTGCAGAAAGCTGGGGTGCTGTCTAGTTCCCGCTGTTTTGGGAGGGAGAGGCAGCCCAGCCGGTCGAAATAATAAGCTTGCTTTAATTTGATTTTAATTGGAGTCAGTGGTCTTTTCTTGCGTCCTGGTCTAACACAGCAACTCAGTGAGGCTCTAAGCAGCTCAGCCAGACCCTGTCTCTACATAAAACATAAAAAAGGGCCGGGGATGTGGCTCAGTGGTTAAGTGACCCCGGGTTCAATCCAAAAGAATTTAACAATCCTCAAGATGCTAGGCCCGTTAACAGAGCTTCAAGGTAGGGAAAGTGTGGACAGAAATGAAAGGAGTGGGTGAATCTGAAATTACAGTTGGAGATTTCAACCCTGTTTTCTCAATAATTTATAGAACAAAGAGAAGATCAGTACAATATGGAATCCCTTGAACAACATGGCTGCCCAGCTCCAGTTGGGTGATGTTTACAGCACACTCCACCCAACAGAAGCAGAAACTTTTTTTTCATATTCCAGCTCACCAAAACAGCTCCCAATAAATGTATAAGAGTCGAAATCATACAGTATTTCTCTATCTACAATGAAATTAATATGGAAATCAATAACAAAAAATATATATATAAGGAAAATTCACAAAGGTTTGGAAAGTAAACAACACATTTGTAAATACCCCGTTGGCCAAAGAAGTAATGACAGGAGAAATTAGCAAACATTCTGAAGATACTCAAAATGAAGTACATCCCAGCAGCTCGGGAGACTGAGGCAGGAGGATCACGAGTTTCAAAGCCAGCCTCAGCAACTTAGCAAGACCCTGTCTCAAAAAATATATATAAAATAAAAATAAAAAGGGCTGGGGATGTGGCTCAGTGGTTAAGAGCCCTGGATTCAATCCCACTACAAAAAAAAAAAAAAAAGAAAATGAAATACAACATATCAAAATCCATGAGCAGCAACTACAGAAGTATCCAGAGGGAGATTTATAAAATCAAAAACTTGTTCTATAAATAATAAAGAAATAAAGGTCTTATATCAGGGACCTAAGAATCTATTTTAAGAAATAAACTCAAGGAGAAAAAAGGAAATCATATTATACACAATATATTATATATTATACATGATACAATACTACATAATATATGTTATAATACATGTTATATTTTATATTACATATAATTTTATATATTTTATGTGTATATGTATGTGTGTACATATGTGTGTGTGGTTGGGTATAGATACACATAAAATCAGTGAAAACAAAAAGCTGGTTCTTTGAAAAGATCAATAAAATGGATAACCTTCAGCCGGGCATATTAGAAAATAAAGTGACCTCAGTTGTCAACATCAGGTCCATGTGGCGTGCATAGGTTATATGTAAATACTACGCATCTTATGTAAGGAACTTGTGCATTTGTGAATTTTGGTCTCCATGGTGGGTACTGCAACCAATCTCCTGACTGAGGGCTGACTATATTATGTGTCAGTAGTATGAGTGCTTAGGCACATGATCTTAGTTGCCCCTCCAGATGGCCCTATGGAATAGGAACTTTTATGCTTGGGCAGCTGAAGCTCAGGGAGGGATGTCTCTGATCTCAAGTCACAGATCTGTGAGTGGCTGAGCCAGGCGCCATGCTTAGATTTGTGTGCTGGTCCTGGCTGGACTGCTCCCCAGCTGTGTTGGCAGCAAGCCTCATGACTCTGTACTGTCGTAGTGTGGATCGGCACTGCTTTCTTCCTTCTCATTTTCCCTCTTTTCTCTTGTTATCATTGCAAAATGATTCCCATCATCTTGGCTGACAACCAAAAGGAAGTGCTGTTACATCGATATAAAGGATGTGAAAAATAAAATAGTAAAAACTCAGTGTTACTCAGCTCTAAAAAAAAAAAAAAGAAATCGAATGCCTCGTTTAAAACCTTCTCACAAAGAAGAAAACTTCCGGCTCAGACGGCTTCAGAAGCAAATTCTGCCAAACATGTACAAGGAAGACGATACCCAGTCTTCACAATATCTTCCAGAAAGTAGAGGAAGAAAGAACTTCCCGACAATCCTTGACATCTGTGGGGAGGAGAAGGACAAAGGGACCCAGAGGCCCTGGTGGTGTCCCTCCCAGATCTGCAGCTCAGGCTACTCCCCGCAGGGAGTCAGCTCTAGACCCTGAGCAGAGGCAGCTGCAGACATGGGGCTGCTGGGTAGGAGTGATCCACCACGGCCTGGGTTTTGAAAGGCTGCACTCTGCGGGTGAAGGCCCGGTAGGTGGGTGCCTGCAGCCTAAGGGTGCCTAACAGAAAGCACAGGAGGAGGGAGGCATCTCGTGTTCAAGTGGCTATTGCAGGCTGGTACTAGTTAAAACTCATTAGATTTAGCATCTTAACTAATCCATAGAACAAATTTATGAATGGCATTACTGTCCCCACTTGATAAATGAGGAACCTGATACCCGAAGACATTAACTAACTCCTCTAGGGTCACACAGCAAGTGGCAGAGCTGAGATTACAATCCAGCTCCCTCAGATCTCAGATCCCACGCGTCTAAATGCATTTGGTCTTCGGGGTCTAACACTATCCCCTGTTCCCTGGGAGGTGAAGGCATTCAGGCAGATCATCCTCCCGGGGGCCCCCCCTGGGGCTGCAGCATAAACACCATCAGATTTTAAGAACCCACCCACACCGACAGGGATGACAGGAAGTTACTTTTAGTTGATTTTTATATACACATTTCAACTGCTTTCTAAGATTGCCCAATGTTGCAACAGGTACAATGAAATGCTTTTGAAAGAGAACATTCAAGAGTCGAAGGCAAGGGAAATGTGGTATGCAATATACCTGTGGCCCCCAAACTCAGGGCATAGCCTCCTGCAGCGACTCGAAGCATGACCACTGTGAACCACACCTCTGGTCTTCATAAGAACCTGCACTGGCACCAAGGCAGGATGGAACTGGAATCCACAGATGTCCCCTTGCTGTCAGCAAGGCCATCGTGAACCAGGGGACAAGCCACCTCGACTTAACAGTGTTTAATGGCTACTTGATCTTTTTTTTTTTTTCTTTCTTTCTGTTTTTTTTTTTTGGTACCAGGGATTGAAGCCAGAGGCTCTTAACCACTGAGCCACATCCTCAGCCCTTTTATATATTTTATTTAGACACAGGGTCTCACTAAGTTGCTGAGGCTGGCTTTGAACTTGCGAACCTCCTGAGAACACACCAACCTCCTCCGGATCCTGGCCAGCACTGTGTGGACTCTGTCACTGTACCACCTGAACTTCTCCTTGGTGATGTTGACGTGGACCAAGCTCCCATCCTTCCAGGCAGCGTGGATGAAATTGTTGCAGTATTTTGCATGGACTGTCTTCTTCTTGCTCTCCTAAGGTAGGGGCAAGGACAGAAACCACTCAGAAACCATTCAGAGAAGAAAGGTCCCCAGGATGATACCTCTACCTCTGCCTTATTAAAATGGCCCTTTGTACTCATCCCCACCATCAAATCATTCAATCATTAATTCACATATACACGCCCTTGGGCCTGCTCCACAGGGTGCTAGGTGTCATGCACAGTGGTCAGAAAGACATGCATGGTCCCATCTGTGCCCCAGAGGAGCCAATGATTCCAGCAGGAGGGAGACAGTACACACACACACACACACACACACACAGAGAGAGAATAGAGAGAGCGAGAGAACAAACAGATTATTAGATAACCCAGGACCTGGTACTGGGTTGAGACAGAGGGGACTAAGAAAATCTCAACAAAGAAGAAAGCTCACAGTGTGCCGGAGGGCCAGGGAGACCATGCTGAAGGAGGTGGGGCTTGAGAGTCCCCCCAAAACCTCTTTCCATGTCTGCTCCCAGCCACCAATGAAGCCAGGGAGCCAAGAACCCCCTCCCACATCTAGTGCCCTAGATGGGATATACAGACCTGGCTCAAGGACAGAGGTTCCCACAAGGACTGCTCTCATCAGTGACATGATCTGTCCCTACTCCATGCCAGGTACCAGGAATACAATGCACATCAAAGACCCCTGAACTTGCCCGCATGGAGCTCACACTAGCAGGGGAGGAGCCAGATCATGAGCCAAGCAGAATGTGGTAGGTCAGAAGATGCCCAGGGTTTGGGAGAAAAATATGGTAGGGAAGGAGAAGAGAGATTGCCAGGCCAGAGGGCAGAGGGCAGGACAGGTTAAAACTGCGGGGAAAAACTTCATGGAGAAGGTGAAATAGGAGCAAAGACCTGAAGGAGCCAGGCGGCCACAGGCAGGCCCCGGGGGGAGTTGGAGAGCTGAGTTTGCCTGTCGTGTTTGTGGGACCTTGGGAAGACCAGCGTAGCCAGAGAGTGGGCAAGGGAAGAAAGTGTGAGACGAAGGTGGAAACGCACAAGGAAAAGGGCCGACTCCAGAAAGCCTGGTGGCTGATGGAGAGGGAGCCCCTCTGGATGGGAGTGGGTCCAGGAGGGCACTGGAGGAGAATGGAAGGGGAGGAGAGAGGGCGTGTCTACAAGTCCTTTGAGGAACTGAATTCTAAAGAGAAGCCAAGGAATGAAACAAATGAAGCAAAACCAGAAGCAGATATGAGTCCAATTAAAAAACAAAACAAAACAGAAACTGGCCCAAGATGGGAGTTTATGCATGGGGAAATGACAACAATGGGGACAGGAGCAGTTTACCAAATGCAGATCTGCTGATGGAAAGCTCTAGAGACAGGGCATTATTGCTGTGAGGCAGAAAGAGGAGAACGAATGAACGAGGGCAGAGAGAGACCAGCGAAGAGGTGAGGGAGTCCCAGCCATTGCCAGCCAGTCCCCTCCACAGAGGCCCACATCAGCCTGGCTGCCCAATCTTGTCCTGGCACCTCCAGAACCACGGATGAAATAAAGATTTCCTCTTTATAAGTTAAAAATAATGATTAAAAAAAAAAAAAGATGAGGGAGTGGGGCAATTGTCCTTGTCCCTTAGAGACAGACAAAGGAGAGAAGAAAAGAAACAGAGGCAGAGCCCACTGGGCAGACACAGCTTCTATCTGCCTTATCCACATCCCAATTTTAGGGTTGAATTCATTTTGGGGACTCATAGTCTAAATACTAGAAGTAGAACTATCCTTTTTCCCCCTAATACAACATCATTATGTGGGGATATTTTCCAAAATCGGTGTTTGCGGAAAAGAAGAGCTGTACTACATCATTCTCAACCTTTGCCATGTTATTATTAGCACAAAAAAAAAATTTGAGGCAAAAGACCCCTTTTATAAGGCAAATTCTTCAAGCTGACCCCCTAAAATGTCATTTAAATGGTCAAGAAACAGTAAGGAAGAAATCGGTCCTAGAGCTAGCTCTGGGCCTAACACGTGGTCACGGCTCATGGCTGACCACAGCCAAATCAACAGGGATTAATAGTTTTTAAATATCCAGGGTCTAATGTATTTCTAAAATGGAAATTTAGTTATGTATGATTTCCTGATCATTACTGACTGACTAATGTCTATTAAACTAGAAAACTGTGCTGGGGCGGTGGAGTGGGGGGGGACACAAATGAGATCTTCCCTGCACGGCAGCAATGACTCTGCATCCTAGGATATGCCAGGAAACAGGTCTTGCATTCTGCATTTTTCTAATTCAATTGCATTCTGCATTTTTCTAATTCAATTGCATTCTGCATTTTTCTAATTTAAACTTTATATTTTTCTCCTGCAGTTTGTTGTAAGCACGCGGCAGCAAGAGAACAAGGACACAACTTGGTGAGACTGAAGCGGCTAGAGGGAAACAGCCCTTCCCGGGGCCCAGTGGTCAGCCACACAAGACACATCAAAGAGACAGGAGTCTCCCCTGCCTGGATCTATGTAGGTCTCAGTGGTGACCCTGATGTCAAGCGGAGCCTCCATACTGTGTTTGAGGAGGGCTTTGGTTCCCTCCCCACTTGGCTCCGTGGAGCTCAGTATCCAGCAGGTCTGCTCTGGTTGGCATTTTGACTCTCACCTCTTGGTGTGGACCTGGGACTTCACCACCTCCTAAAATGGCTTTTCTCAGGTTTTAAGAATCTGGAAGGCTCAATTTATCCTGATTTTCTTTCATATTGGGACACTTCTTAAGTCTTTCTCTACTTCTAAACTTTTGATCTCAAGTCTTTTGGTTCCTTTTCTACATGTGGCTATTTCTCAAAGTGCAGTCCCTGGTCTAGTGGCTTCAGGGTCCTCTGGGGACTGTCACTTGCAAGGTTTGAATATGGCTCATCCCCACCACGTTGAGACTTGGTCCCCAATGTGGCGGTGTAGGGAGGTGGGGGCCTCTAAGAGGAGATGACGTTGTTAAGAGAGATTGGGTTTTTCTTGTGGGATTAACTCTCTGAGAACTGGGTTATTTACCCCTGGAGTGGATTGTCATAAAGAGGCAGCTACCCCTCAGTCTCTCAAATGGGTGCTTTTACACCTGCACCCACTTTCCTTCTTTTCTGCCATGAATTGACACAGCGTGAGGACCTCACCAGAAACCAAGCAGGTGCCAGCACCATGCTCTTTGATCTGAAGAACTGTAAGATAAATAAACTTTTTTTCTTTATAAATTTCTCAGCCTCAGGTATTTGGTAACACAAAACAAGTGAAGACATTGTTGATGCAAATCCTGGGGCTCCACTCAGACCTACTGGCTCCTGTGTGTGATGCTAGAGCGTGGAAACCACTGTGAACGAGATGATCCTTCCACTGGGAGCCAGAGTCAGGCACCGTGAGAAGATCTGTTTCCATGAGAACCACTCAGCACCATGGAACTACAGCTTTCAACGTTCTCAAAACACACTCATCTGGGGCCACAACCCTTTGGAGAAAGTGATTTTATATTTACTGGGAATCCATTATGTGCTGGCTGGTAGTCACAGGAATAATGCACCTTTGAGAGAGTGAAAAGACAAGAACCACCGAAATGCCTGCTTTGGAGTACCCACCAGCAGTTGCTTCTTTCCATTCAATGTGGGAGACTGCAAGTCCTCTCTTTTGACATAATGTTGAATAATTCAGACTCTAATGCCTGAATTTCTACAGGCCCAGCCAATGGCTCATCCATAATTCACGTGTCTAGTGTTCTGGTTTGAAAATGGTTTGAGTGTGTCCCCCAAGGGTCTGTGTGCTGGAAGCTTGGTCCCTAGTGTGGCAGTGTTGAGAGGCAGTGGAACCTTTAAGGAGGGGCTCTATTGGAAGGTCATGGGGGCACTGGCTCTGAAGGGGATTAATGCTGGTCTTACAGAGTGACTTAGCGTTCTCGTTGGCCGCCTGTTGTAAAGTGAAGAACCTGGCCCCCTTCTACATATGTCCATTTCCCTTTCCACTTCTCTGCCATGTTGGAATGCAGCCAGGGGACCCTCCCCAGAAGCCAAGAAGAAGAGGCTGCCTGATATTGGGCTTGTAGCCTCCAAAACTGTGACCTAAATAAACCTCTTTTCTTTATAAAGTACCCAGCATCAGGTATTCTGTTACATCAACACAAAGCAGACTAAGACTACCAGAAACCATTCCCAGACTAGATCTCTGCCTCACGGGTACCACTTAGAGAAGAATAAGGCAGGAAGCAGAAGGAACCTCTTTCTTCATGGAAACATAAGTGGATTTCTCTCCTGGCTGCCTTTCAATGTGGTCCTGCCCTGGGCTTCTGATCTGCTAGGATACCATGGGAATTCCACAGCCCCCCCTTCCCCAAGTTCACTTCACCTACCGCACTGGTCTGCAGGGACTCGTTCTCCGGTTTGGCTTTTATCTCAATGACTCCATCAGCATGGCGGAAGGAGCAGTCAGCAAGGACATCGTAAAATGACAGCTTCTGGGCTTTCAGACCATATTTCTGTAGCCACTTCTTGGAGTCCCAGGTGTCTTCTGGATTCGACTCACTCTCCACACCTGACTCTGTTTTTGGAATCACAGTTCATGAGCCATTCATTCCACACAGACCCTTCATGTCACACCCTCAGCTTCCTTCGCACCAGGCTGGGACGTGCCTTTGTTAGCCACGCTTCATTTCGGATAAACAGCTGTCCAAAGCAGGACTGGCAGGGGGTTAGTACCCAAGACTAGACAGCAGAAACCTAAGACCTCTCATCTCATTTCCTCCTCTACTGAAGTCGATTGGCCTTGTGCCTGGGTGGAGCTGCATGATAGACAAGGGCCTTGTGTCAGGAGAGCGTTACACTTGGGGTCAGAGGCTATGGGTTCAAGTCCTGGCTTTCTCACCTACTAGCTTGGGCTACTTGCTCAAATTTAAATGGGACACCCCACTTGACCTTTTGAACTTTGGCTTCACCTGCAGATGGAAGTTAGTATCTGCTAGGCATTTCTGAGTATGTTGCAGTAATTCAATAAGAAAAGTCACCTGATATTTTATTTTATTTTATAATGAGGGGGAAAGAGAAGTAGGGATACACAGCCTACAGAGAGGTGAAGTCTATCAACATGCTACAGCTGGCAGGCTGCTTCCCATGAAGTCCACTGCCTTGGGGGGAATTTGTCCCTACTAAGAACATGGTCCTCAGCTCTGCTATCTCAGAAGCCTCATAGGTGAGCCCTGATGCCTGGAGCTATAGATAGGACGACTTTCCTTAGGCTCACGGATCACCAAAAACCCAGAATTTGTCAATTACCCAAATATTTCCAACTCCAGGCACAGTCCCTTTGTGTATTCCAGAAGCTATCTGTACAGTTGTTCCCTCGGCATATGCAGGGGATTGGTACCAGGATACCAAAGTCTGTAGATGCACAAGTCTGTCATACAAAATGTTGCGTATTTGCATAGAACCTGGGCACATCCTCCCTTGTCCTTTAAGTCATCCCTACGTGGCTTATCATAACTAATACAATATCAGAGCTGGGTGAATGGTTGTCAGGCTATCTTGTTCAGGGAATAATGACAAGGGAACTATCTGCACATGTTCAGCATAGACACAGTTTTTCATTTTTTTCCAAATATTTTTGGTCCGTTGTTGGTTGAATTCGCAGAGGAAGAACTTGAGGATACAAAGCACTGACTGCAATTAAATAGTTGCGCTGTTAGGGAAATAAAATACTACCCACACGTACTCTTTGCTGGACATAAGGGGTTACATCATTAGCAGGAGATTCAAAGAAATAAAACACTTTAAAGGCAATTATCCCTCAATAATTGGAGGTGCTCATGAACACTGCATCCGAGCCAGGTCCTCACATTTTAATAGAATGCCTTTGAAAGATTTCACTCTGAAGTCTGTTGGAGTTGGAACTTGTCAAAGAAGCTTATTTGGGCTTTTGAACTTTATACCAAACTAGCATCAAAAGCCCCATTGAGCAGCACCCTGAACACTCCTGGTGTCCTTCCACCCCAGGGCCATCTCTCCCTTCCTTCTCAGGGAGCGCAGTCTGGCCTTCCCGGGATGCCCTCCAAACCTCTCCTCAGCCCCAGGACGCAGCCCAAGAGAGGAAGGAGCCCCTCCATGGCTCTCCTCTCTCAATAATTGTTAATGACATTGCCAGTCTCTGGTCTCCTCTTGAGAGAGGGGCAAGGACAGGTGGCTTCAAAGAAAAAGAAATGCGTAGATAGCACTCCCATGGCCTCCTGGTTGCTAACAGCCTCCAGGGGAGGGAAGGACCATATTTTACAACAGCACCTCCTGGTTGGCGCTCTTCTGGCCTTTTGGTCACCCAGTAGGCAGGGTGGGAGGAAGGTACAGGAGAAGAAAGGAAACCTGAATTCTATAAAAGGGGCACGACACCCCGACTCCTCGGGCACCAACTCTCTGGAGGATCCCCCCCCCCATCCAGTCCTGATTTGTAAGACCCGGGTTTCACTCTTTCTTCTCTGGTAGCAGAGACAGATTCCTTTCCTCCTCCCCTCTTTCCTGATCGATAGATGTGGTAGGAAATAAAATTCTCATTCAGTTGTTTCTATAGCAACACATGCCTCCCCTGTTTTGGGTTGTCTTCTTTTTAAAAGATGAGAGAGCCCTTCAAGCCTGAATTCAAGTTTACCGTGAAAAGAACTTCCTAAAAACACATCCAAACCAATCCTTGCAAGGGTTTTTAAGGAGCCAAAGACTCATTTTGAACTCCTTGATTTCCTGGGGACCAGGTGGTGCAGGCCCTTGAGGGAAGGATTCAGAGTCCCAATTAGCCACCCCAAGAAGGGGTTCAGGTGAAGACCCCCAACAAGGAGAGAATGGGCCACTAATCAATCACAAACGAGGAAAGAAGTGAGAGAAATCTCCTCTTTTCAGGGCTAATTATACCAATTAGTGGCCGAGCCTCACTTTCCCCAGGAAGGGAGGGGCAGGGTGTCAGCTGGTCATTAGCGTCACTTACTAAGGGGGCCTTTCCATTCCCCTGCAGTTTTCTTAATTAAAAGTGTTACATGGATTCTCCCCCACGGAGCCCTGTGCTCACAGCAGAGGCAATGAGGGCTCTCCTCTCCCACTTGACAGATTGCTTGAGATTTCCTTGCAGTGACGGGAAAGGGGAGCAGATGGCAGAGCATGTCACACCACAGCACTCGCTGGTCCCTCCATCCTACTTCCCCCAGCCTCTCTTCCCCTCCCCTCCCCTCCCCTCTCCCCCTACCCCTCCCCTCTCCCCCTCTCTCCCCCTCCCTCTCCTCCTCCCTCCCCCTCACTCTCCCCCTCCTTCTCCCCCTCTCTCTCACCCTCACTCTCCCCCTTACTCTCCCCCCCTCACTCTCCCTCTCCCTCTCCCTCTCCCTGGTCCATCCTTCATTCACCTACAGCAAGGCCCAGCTCCCTGGGGGCCTACAGGTATGGAGGGCTTACTACCCCATGACTGCCCACCCCCATCCTTCCCCGTAGAGAGCTACTTGTCTGGCCCCTCATTCCGACACACAAGGTCCAGGGCCTTTCAAGGACACTATCACCAGATGAATAGACTAGAGCTCCAGACTGGAGAGCAGCCTCAGTCACTGCCGGGGGCAACACCAGGATCCACCAACACCACTTCCCACACATGCCGGCGGCTGCTACTTGAATCGAATGTATGAAATATGATATGTCAAGAGTTTTGTAATGTTTTGAATAACCAATAAAAAAAAAGAAAGAAAGAAGGTGCATTACGCAGAAAGTTTGAGGAACTTGAAAATCAAGTTTTAAGGGTTTCTTGGTCACAGATCTTTTCTAAACTTTTTTTTTTTTTTTTCTGGGAATGGGCAAGGAGGCTCCACCCAAGCAAGGTTCCCAAATGCGCTTCTATTTTATAGACCACATCAGGGGACACAGTGTCCAACACCCCTACCAATCACAGGTGCCACGAGACACTGACCAAACCATTGGCCACTATGACAGGAAGGCACAGGAAGATGATGCTGTAAGAAAGCTGAGAAAGAAGGTGGAAGGAAGCAAAGGAGGAGAGAAGGAAAACAGGATTGAGGGCCGCTGGGAGGTGGGAAGAAAGACGGTTCTCTCAGGAAACTGTAGCCGGGTCCCACCTGCTGGTAAGATGGGTATGGTTTCTGCTGTGAGCCAGCTCGACAGACAGCAGCTGCAGGGACAAGTGTCCTCTGAAGGTGAGGGGAAGCCCAGCCCGGTCAGAAGCCCAGGGGACAGGTGGTGACAGCAGGGCACAAGAGAGCAGCCAGTCCCTGAGCCATACTTATTGCCTGATATTTTCTGTGACTCTGCACTTGCTAAAAACCATGTGCTGGGCATACATGCTGGACTGCACAGGATCTCAGAAAAGGGGGACAGAGGAGATGGAAGAAGAGAACTGTGTCACTCATTTTTGCATCACTGTGACCAAAATACCCAACAAGAACAACTTAGAGAAGGAAAGTTGTTCAGTAATGGCTCACGGTTTCAGAGGATTCAGTCCATGGCCAGCCAACACCATTGAGCACAGAATCATGGCAGAAGGGCATGGTAGAGGAGAGCTGCTCAACTCATGGCAGCCAAGAAGGAGAGGGACACAGAGAAGGAGAGATATCCAGGGACCAAGTATAGTCTGAGGCCTTGCGCCCAGCTACGTACTTCCTCCAACTCTACTTCCCCTCCCAGCAGCCCTTTCAACTGTCAATGGATTAATCCAGCAAATAGATTAAGCCACTGATGAGGTCAGAGCCATACTCATTGCCTAAAAGTCCCACTTCTGAACCTGACTGTATCGGGGATCATGCTTCCAATGCACGAGCTTTAGGGGACTTTCCACAGCTGTAACACAGCCATATTCTACAAAACTAATTAATTCACTGAGGAGACTCTGGTAAAATTTTGGGGGCGCCTCTGGGTCTGTACACGTGAGGACCAAGGCCAAACAGGAAGCAGCGATGGGGCTGAAACCACATGTCCACCATGTAACCACCTCCAAATGGGCAGTTCTAGAGTCTGCTGAGCCGACTGTCCTAGAACCTTGGGAAGCCTACCAGAGCATGTAGCTGTGACAGTCACGAGAATGAGGAAGGATGGTGATAAATTCTAGCTCTTTCTCCCCTGGAATATTGTAAAACCATTTTTCCTTCCTCCTCATAAAATCCAAGAAAAATCTGTTGTAAAGAGGGCTCCATAGTTTCCCCCATTTGTTGATAAACCAGTGGAAAAATGAGTCCAACACTAAGTGTCCATAATTCCTGTGATCATTGGGGTGGGAGCACGAGGAAAAGGAAATAAAAAACATAGAGGCAAAAAAAAAAAAAAGCAAATGTCAAAATAGAGAACATAAAGTACCAGGAATGGAAAGGACCTGGGAGAGGAGCTAAGACCCATCCAAAGACTCAAAGTCTACAGCACAGGCTGACGGCTGCTGAGCAATGAAGAGCAATAGTCAGCGTGGCATCCAACCCCCGTGAAGACTGAGAAGAAACCACTAACGGAGTGCAGAAGAATTTAAAAAGCCACAGTTTAATGGACATTTGAAATAAATTGAAAGTATTTGTACCTTAAGCC